ATTTTTTCAAGCTAACTTCCCTGCTGATACGATGCTGTGATGAAGCAGGCTTGGTGCCCAGTCCCCCAGTGATGGGCATGCACTCCACTGCCCTGGGAAGTGTACTTGCAGCAGGGGCCCACCCGTTCACTGCTGGACTTACACAGTTCAGTGCGATTGTGTAAATTATTTGCAGGCCTGTCTGAAATGCATCTCTTGCCAACTTAAGGCATTTGAAGGCACAGCTTCTTATTTGGGGAATTCTTGGCTTAAACTGCCAGGCTTGTGTGAGCATCTTCCTCGCATTGAGGCTGTTTTCCTCATACAATCCGCAGACTTAACCTCATCAGCCTTAGGATACAGCAGCTGGCTTTTAAAAAGAAATCTCTGCCAGCCATTTGGAGTTTTTTGGTTTGTTTTGTGAGTTTTTTGCCATAGGATTTGAGTGTGAGAGTGTGTGTGTGTGAGAAAGAGGGAGAGAGAGAGAGAGAGAGAATGTCCTGCATTGCAGTTTACTTTTCTTTTTTATTTGCTTTTAAACACTCTGAGCAGTTCCTGAAATACACTCTTTGTCGTCATTGTTTCACATGACTTAGGGCTCTGTGCACTTTGTTCTGTGTGTAAGGTTATGTTCAAAAGATAGACTACAAAGGAACACTTGATACACTTCCTTCGGTGTTAGGAACTTTCACTCTCTGTCCCTAGATGAGCAGCATGTGGTATCTATGGGTTTGGGTGGATGGGTGAGTGCGTGGTCTGCAGGTTGACTAGCAGACTTTCTCTACTTGGCTAATTCCAGATTGACTGGTGTATAAAGGTAATGTATGCATAAAACAGAAATTTGAATGTTAAAGTAGAGTTACCTCTTTTAGGATAGATGGTTAAGAGATTGAGATTGTTAGCAGCTCTGCTTGGCTCCATAGTCAACACTCTTGGTACCAGCAACCAGGAAATCTGGACACAAATTGTACTGGGAATGTCAGCTGTCAGGGATCTCTCCAGAGTACTGAAGAGCAACGATGTCAGTCTGGAGATTAAGGTGTGCCTGATACAGGCCATGGTCTTTGCAACTGCTTGCTATGTGTCAGAGAACTGGACAATGACTAGGGATGATAGAAAGATAATTGATGCCTTTGAGCTGTGGTGCTGAAGAGTATTGAATATACCATGAACTGCTAGTAGAACAAAGAGGTTCATCCTAGAGAGGGTGAAACCAGCTCCTCCTTGGAGGCAAAGATTCTGAGGCTTTGTCTGACATACTTTGGGCATATTGAAAGGAGGGACTAGTCCTTTGAGAGGGACATCATGCTTGGAAGGGTGGAGGGACAGAGAGGGAGAGGGAGATCATCGATAAGATGGATTGATGCAGTGACTGGGGTAATAGGGGATGGTGTGTTGGAGACAGTGAGGTTGGCACAGGATAGCAGGTTTTAGGGTTATTATACACAGGGTCCGCTATGAGTCACAGATGACTCGATGGCATATAACAACAACCACAAGTAATATAACTTACATAAAAATGGGGCATGCCCCATGGCACTATTCAACTCACAGTTTAGCAGAAAATGTTTTTCAGTAATAATGGATTTTTTGAGGAACCTGTCACACACCCCTACTAGATGTCTTACTTCTTGATATGTTTCCTCAAATTTACTTAGAACATAAAAAGCGATACTGCATCTCAGTGTTATAAAAACAGATACTATTCTTTTGGATTCCTATTTTGAATTGAGATTTAAGAATAATTTGTAACAGAAATTTCCTGAACGGAATGTTGATTGTGGTGCTGCACCTGGTTCATGATTACGCTAAACAGAAGCAAAAGAAGACGCATAAATTTGTGGTGTTAACATTTAGGAAATGTTGGGTTTTTACATTCACATTCATTTTGTGTAATTTTCTAGTAAAAGAATTGAGTAGTTTTTTTCCTCCTTTTTCTACTAGTTTATTTACAAAACTCGAATACAGATTTTAAAAAAAGTCTTTCCATTTCCCTCACTCCCTCATCAAATTGTACAACCCAGTCATTAATCAACATCTCCCCCTGCACAACCACAGCCCTCTGCTTGCAGCCTCTCCCACCCCTCCTGGATCCTTATACTCATTCTATAATAACAGTTTTATACAATATTTATCCTTGTGGGGCTGAGTTACTTTTTTTTAATATTGTAAAGTTTGGTAAAGAGTGATCTGATTTGCATACTTCCTATGTCAACCTAAAAGGAGGACTGGGTTCCTTTCTTCTCAAGTATGACTTAAGTGTACGACTTCTCGTGGCTGCTTTGATGGTGAGCCCATCACAAGGGTGACTGTTTTGCAAAGTGAGAATTTGGTAGCAGCAGCGAGCACAGGCAGAGTACTGACTGTATCCTGAGCGTGGACGCTGCACTCATCACGGGCTTTGTTTTGGAGAATCCTCACGGTAAACCTTTGACAGTTAAGGAAATGGCTGTGAACTAAGTGCTGGAGTGAAGTGGAGAAGGACAGTAGTAACGGATGATGAACCTCAGGAGCATAATCAGTGTCACTGGCTTTAGGTAGAAACACTGTTACATTTGGAGATCTTTTATATAATTTACCACAGTCAAGCAACAACAGAAATAACTCCACTAATGCTTGAGGTTCCTTTGGTATTCAAAGCTCGATTACTTTATAGCAAGACAAATTCAGTAACTTTCACAAGGCAGCCTAGCAAATGGCTCCTCCAGTCTGCGCGCTCTCGTGGCTTAGTGTCAGGAGCTGTGCTGCCAACACAAAGGCATGCGGTTCAAATCCACCAGCTTCTCCCTGGGAGAAGCACGGGCCGTCTCCTCCAACAGTTAACAGCTTCTGAAATCCCACTGGAGGGTCACCTCAACAGCACACAACCACCACAATCCAGCCTGGGGAAACCAGGACCAACTCTGGACTCATAATGGCCCTTTGCACAGTTGGAACAACCAGAGCCATTAACTATGACCTCCTCACACTTTGGTGGGTAACATGTATCTGGCCTTAGAGAATCAGATTAAAACTAACAGATGACAGCAAAGTAAGATCCAGTATCCTCCATTTTCTTTTCATGTCCTCCGACAGCTACTACTTAGCTAAGATAAAAATCGATAAACTCAAATCCTCTGCTGTCCAGCTGGATCTGGCTCTCCATTGCATTTCTGAGGGTGCAAATCTCATGAGAGGAGGTGCCCGTGTTTCCCCTGTAGAGCTGCTGCTGGGCATGGACCACAGATGGGGGCTGCCTTTAGTTATCAGCACAGCCCCAGCAGGCTGCTTCCTCAGAGCGGTAAGACAGCGGTGCAGCGATGCAGCTCACGTCAGTGCTTGCAGCCTGTTCAGACGTACTTCGTAGTCCTGGCCCAGGGCACCCCGCCCCCCAGGCTTCTGAGGCTGTAAACGTGACAGGAGAGTGTCCATCCTTCTGCCGTGGATTCGAGCCTCTGGAGACTCAAGGCCCTTGGTGGGCAGCACTGCTTGCTTCGGACTGGACCTCCACAGCAGCCCTGAGGGCCTGGCAGCTCTTGTGGTTGTTAGGTGCCAGCAAGTGGACAGTGGCTCCAGGGACCCTGTGAGCAGCGGATGTGAGCCCAGGCCCACACCAACCTCACCATCTTTGATGCGCTTGAGCCCGTTGTAACAGTCATTGTATCAATCCACTGGGTTGAAGGTTGTCTTCTGTCTCCCACCCTCCATATTCCCAGTATCGGGGAGGGGGCTTGCCCCGGGACAGGCCCCTCCTGCAGAGATTCCTCTCCATTATCCCAGGAAGGAGTCCCCATTGTAATCACCACGTTCTTAGGGAGAAGGGCAACATCTCTGAGAGTGTAACTTATTTGTGGTCCACAGTGTTAACATGCCCAGTGCTACTCCTATGGAATCATGAATGTGACATGTATGTCCACATAGGCGTGGCCAGATGGTTAATGAAGGCCAGTGACGTGATGGAGTAGATTCTATGCGCTGTTTTATTCACTGATGACCAGATGTCGCTGTTAGGATAGAAGGTAATCAGCTAGCTCCCTTTCTCAGCTACATTAGATCAATTTAAATCGAGCAAGAAAAGTACACCCTCTGGAGAGATAAGAACGCCTAATTAATACAAATTTAATTCACTAAAAATGCATTTGGAGTCTTTAATAAACCACCTTTCCTATTGTACTTGGTATAACTGTTCTGGAGGATTTTGTTTGTTTATTTATTATTTATTTGCCATGAGAAGACCTTTAAATAGATGACATTTCTAAGCTCTCGTCCTTAAGGATGTGATGGTGGTTTGTTATGTTCCTGTGTGTGGTGTGTGAGAAGTGAAGGGTGGTGTGTTTGTACACTGTGTGTTCAATGTGGATGTGTGTGAGGTTTTACTCACTACTACAAGGTATCCGTGGACGTGAAGGAACTCTAGCGTTAATCTTGGTGTAGTAAATCACACGTGAGGGTGCCCTGAAATTTAAAAGCAAGGTTGTTCTTTTGAATGTTATTAGATTTGTGAGTGATCATGTCCTTTTAGGGACTTGGTGAGTATTCCTGGTTGCACAGTGCTTAAAGCACTCAGGTGTTAATCTGGAGACCCTTCAGCTCCACGGAGGAGGGGAGTCCGTCTGCTCCCGTAATAATTGAGGTCCTTGGGAGCTTCTGGGGCGGCTCTGCCTTAACCTGTAGGGTTACCGTGGGTCAGAACTGAGTTCATAGCAGTGCTGGGGTTTTATTGTTGTGAATGTGTTTCTAATGACGGAGAGGAGGATCATAATGTAAAAAGTATGAAGAATAAAAATAACGTGTTTCATAATCTAATTTGCAGGCTAATCTCCTCATCTGCTTTGGCTGAGGTAGCCCCTGCCACAGAGCGCCCTGAGAGTCACAGTTCAAAGACTCCACGTTGCCTCCTGCCTTTCAAAACTCCGAGAAGCAGCCCCTCTGCCCTGGGAGTCCTCGGGTCCAGCCTCCACTGTGCCTGGATGCTGGCGCCAGCTGCCCGCTGTCCTGCGCACCACCAGAGCGGCCTCACGCGTTGTTAGAGCCAAGGCGTTGAACCTGCTGGGCCTGCCAGCATGGCTAGGATCGGCACCCCTTCCACGGCCTGCTGGGTGGTGCTGGGCCTGTTCATGACTTCACGGACTGAGTCTTCCATACCGAGTAGTGAGTGTCCCCAGCTGTGCGTCTGTGAGATTCGGCCCTGGTTCACCCCCCAGTCCACCTACAGGGAGGCCACCACGGTTGACTGCAATGACCTGCGGTTAACTCGCATCCCCAGCAACCTGTCCAGCGACACCCAGGTGCTGCTTCTGCAGAGCAATAACATCGCAAGGACCGTGGGAGAGCTCCAGCAGCTTTTCAACCTGACCGAGCTCGATTTCTCCCAGAACAACTTCACCAACATCAAGGACGTGGGGCTGGCCAACCTGAGCCAGCTCACCACTCTCCACCTGGAGGAGAACCAGATTACAGAGATGGGCGACTACTGCCTGCAGGACCTCAGCAACCTGCAGGAGCTCTACATCAACCATAACCAGATCAGCACCATCTCTGCCAACGCCTTTGCCGGCCTGAAAAACCTTCTGCGGCTCCATCTCAACTCCAACAAGCTGAAAATCATCGACAGCCGCTGGTTTGACTCGACGCCCAACTTGGAGATCCTCATGATTGGGGAGAACCCTGTGATCGGAATTCTCGATATGAACTTCAAGCCACTCTCCAACCTGAGAAGCCTGGTCTTGGCGGGCATGTACCTCACCGATGTCCCAGGCAACGCCCTGGTGGGGCTGGACAGCTTGGAAAGCTTGTCCTTCTATGATAACAAGCTGGTCAAAGTCCCTCAGCTTGCCCTGCAGAAAGTCCCAAACTTGAAATTCTTGGACCTCAACAAAAACCCTATCCACAAGATTCAGGAAGGGGACTTCAGGAACATGCTTCGGCTGAAGGAGCTGGGCATCAACAACATGGGCGAGCTGGTCTCTGTGGACCGCTTCGCCCTGGACAATCTCCCCGAGCTCACCAAGCTGGAGGCCACCAACAACCCCAAGCTCTCCTACATCCACCGCCTGGCCTTCCGCAGCGTGCCGGCCCTGGAGAGCCTGATGCTCAACAACAACGCCCTGAACGCCGTCTACCAGAAGACGGTGGAGTCCCTTCCTAACCTGCGTGAGATCAGCATCCACAGCAACCCGCTGAGGTGCGACTGCGTCATCCACTGGGTCAACTCCAACAAGACCAACATCCGCTTCATGGAGCCCCTGTCCATGTTCTGTGCCATGCCGCCCGAGTACCGGGGGCAGCAAGTGAAGGAGGTCCTGGTCCAGGGCGCCAGCGAGCAGTGCCTTCCCATGATCGCCCACGACATCTTCCCCAACCACCTGAACATGGACGTGGGCACCACCGTGTTCCTCGACTGCCGCGCCATGGCTGAGCCTGAGCCCGAGATCTACTGGGTCACGCCCCTCGGGAACAAGGTGACGGTGGAGACCCTCTCAGACAAGTTCAAGCTCAGCAGTGAAGGCACCTTGCAGATATGTGACATCCAGGTCGAAGACTCAGGAAGATACACGTGCGTGGCCCAGAATGTGGAGGGAGCGGACACCCGGGTGGCCACCATCAAAGTCAACGGGACCCTTCTGGACGGCGTCCAGGTCCTGAAAATCTACGTCAAGCAGACGGAATCTCACTCCATTCTGGTGTCCTGGAAGGTCAATTCGAATGTCATGACCTCAAACCTGAAATGGTCTTCGGCCACCATGAAGATTGACAACCCTCACATAACCTACACCGCCAGGGTCCCTGTGGACGTCCACGAGTACAACCTCACCCACCTGCAGCCGGCCACGGATTACGAGGTGTGTCTCACCGTGTCCAACGTTCACCAGCAGATGCAGAAGTCGTGTGTGAACGTCACCACCAAAACCGCCGCCTTCGCTCTGGACATCTCGGACCAGGAGACCAGCACAGCCCTGGCCGCGGTGATGGGATCCATGTTTGCGGTCATCAGCCTGGCGTCCATTGCCATGTACATTGCCAAAAGGTTTAAGAGGAAAAACTACCACCACTCCTTAAAAAAGTATATGCAAAGAACCTCCTCGATCCCACTCAACGAGCTGTACCCACCTCTCATCAACCTGTGGGAGGCAGACAGCGAGAAGGACAGAGACGGGGCTGCGGACGCCAAGCCCACGCAGGTGGACACGTCCCGGAGCTACTACATGTGGTGACGCAGCTGGGACATCTTGCTTCTGGTAGTAAGGAGCACAGAGACGTTTTTGCTTTATTCTGCAAAAGTAACTCGTTGAAGACTTTTGTATTTTTGACTTTGCTAGTTTGTGGCAGAGCGGAGAGGACGGGTGGATATTTCCAGGTTTTTTAGTATAGCGTATCGCAAGGGGTGGCACAGCTCGGGGCTATTCTACGCTTCCAGGGGTGTTTGCTTTTTATTCCTATCATTATATTATATTATTATTATTATTTTATTTTAGTTGTTGTGCTAAATGCAGTAATGCTGTTTTCACTATAATGCTCAATCAACAGTTCCTGACAGGTTGGGGTCCCTGGTGCTTCAGCCGGTAGCACGGCCCCTCTTCTGAAGCCATCGTCAGAGTTACCACATTCTACAAAAGCTAGCACAGGTGGGAAGCAGCAGTGAACCATCTGGCCCAGAGACTTTCTAAGGCCAAGGCTAGACTTGTTTTCTTGGTTGGATGATGTTAGTTGCCTGTACTGTAATGTTGTATCAACTGAACTGAATGTTTTGCCTTTGAACAATGGCTTTTCTTTCTCTTCCTTTCTTTTTGTACTAGTTAGAGGCTTAGAACAAGCTAACAGGCAAGAGAAAAATGTATACCAGATTTTTTAATATAACAGACTACATGTTAATTTTACCTTATTCTTTTTATTATCTTTAGTAGATACTTTTAAAAGACAAACTACTTTTGTTGTGTTTCACTCACCAACATGTGGTGTATGATGAAGACAGAACTATAATAAATTAGTTTTGTTCGGATTTTTTTTTTAGAACACTCGCAATAATGTATCATTTATAGCCCTTGCTGGTAGCAGTAGTAATATTTTTTACATCCATAAAAACAACAACCAAAATAAATCAGCTAGAGCATGTTGGTTTTTTATAGTTAGGCCCTAGAAAGTTGTGAGTTGTTTTACTAAGGGAAGAAAACTCTATTTTAATGAAAAAGAGTTCAGTATTTTAGACATTTTTGACCTGAGCCTAATGATGGCATGGGAGGGGGCGGGAGCTTATGTGAGGAAGGGGGTGTATCACTGAATCCCTGCAAGGATAACAGAGAATTACATAAAACATTGGATAATTCCTTTTCTGTTATGCTTTTACTAAAACGTCATTTATTTTTTTTTTTACTATTTTCCACATGTTCCATCAACGTTTACAACACATAGCAATGCAGTATTTAAAGTATGTTACATAATAGCGCTTCTTTTTCAAAATAATGATCTATATGCTTTCACCCATATTGGTCCATATAATTAGTATTGAGGGATCTGCTGAGAAAAGTAAATTAACAGAAAACAGAAAAAAATGTCTGCATGGTTTTTCACACAAGTTCCCGATATAAACTACTAACTCATTGCTGTTGAGTCCCGCAGGTTTTCAGAGGTTGTAAACAGCTTGGGAGAAGACTGTCCTTCTTTCTCCTGCAGAAAGGCAGTGGTGGATTTGAACTGTCTACCTCTGCGTTGGTAGACACATACACATTCCCCCTGCAAGTCATGGTATTTTCAGTTGTTTCCTGTGCATCTGAGAGTTGGACAACGATTCATGAATCAGAGCGACAAAATCAGACTCGATGCCTTTGAACTGTGGCACTGGCGAGGAGTACTGGCGACCCCGTGACGGTCAGAGGACCGACATTTGTCTGGCTGGCAGTGCAGCCAGGTGCTGCTTAGAGGAAAGCACAGAGCAGCTTTGTCTCACATACTTTGGACATGTTTTCAGGAAGGGCCAGTCCTGGGAAAAAGACATGGTACGTGGAAAGATGGAGATTCTGAGAAATAAGGACGACACTCAAGGGGGATTGATACAGTGATTAGAACAAAGGGCATGTCAGCGATGATGAAATGGGACAGGACAGGACGAGATTTTCTGACATGTTTATTTTCTTACTGAATCTCCCCTGTACTCACCCTTGCCCTCCATCCAACCCTTCTGTTTACTAATCTGTTACCATTTCTGCCTGTCCCATCCCTGCCCACCAACCCTCCACCGCTGTTGATATCTGTATTTAGATCTTAAAATGTATCTCTCTTCCTTAAGAAACTTTACATGCTGAGGATCTGACGGTATACTTCGAAACTGCCCATGTCAGGCTACACTGTAACTCTGACCAGCCTTCCCTGCAGGCTCCTTTTGGACATACACGCTTAGGATTAAAAACTTAGAAAGTTTTATGAAGAAGATTGCAAACGCAGTCTTTCCTTAGCAAAAGCAAACAAATGGAAACCTTGAAGGTTTATGTGAAAGTCGTGACAGCTCAACACTTGGTTCCAAACCTGAAACAAGGAAACATGCACTTCACGTTCTGAGACATTTGTGGGGTGGCACCGGGCAAAACCAGAGACAAGCGGAGCGGCCACCTCGCATGTGGCTTCTGCGGTCAGCAGGTGGGTGGACATGCACTCCGGGGAAAGTCCATCCGGATGGCGTACGACCTCAGAGGAGTGGTCTGGGTTTTCTAATGGACGCAGCTGTTCGTCTGACATTTCTTCCCTTATGACCTACATGACGCACAGCCAGTGACACACACCTCGAAAAATAGCTCTGGGCATAAAGTGGGTCATGCCTGGCCTCTCCTTTCTATATGAGCCTCACTCACTTTCTCTCATACATCCCACTAAACAAGGTAAATTTCCGCCTGACCCCTGATGTCTTGAATTAACAAAATGGCCTTCTAAAGCAGCAGTCTGCATATTACCATGTCTCAGTGACTGAGACAGTAACTAATCAGGGCCTATTTTCCTCCTGTCTTATTCTGTGTATATTTTAATATACACAATCACAGAAATATACATCATAATATAGAAATGGAATCATAGTGCATATAGATTTGTATACTTTTGTTTCCTCTTTCACTAGAAAAATAAAGAGTCTTCCTATATGAAGTGACTTTGGGAAGCATGATTTAAAGACCATTATCATCATCTGTCAGATGGCTAGTCGTTAATTCAACAATTCCTTTCTTTTTTACCATCTGCACTGCTTCTCTACGGGAGCATGGATGGTGCAGTGTGTCCCATGACATGTGCTACCCCAGAGAGAAGGATGAGGCTGCCTCTCCCTTAAAGGTGAGCCTCGGGACCTTGCAGAGAGTGGGAGCCTGTCGGGGCGGGGGCGGGGAGCCATACTGGGAGGTGGGACCCTTGTTAGAGAGTCAGACCTCTGCTGGAGAGCGGGATCCCTGCTGGTGGTTGGAACCCCTGTGCCTCAGAGTCTGGCTTTTCCTCTGTGTCAGCCCCTGGGGCTTAAACGCTTGCCTGCAGGACCCATTTCCTGCCTCAGGTGTAATCACCACAGCAGGCAGGCAGGTAGGTAAGCATCCACACATCACCCATGTGAATTCCCACTAGGAGGAGGAAGTGGAAGTGCAGGCAGGTAGAGTCAAGTCTATTTAGGGAGCTGAGACCTCCAGGCCAACCACACAAGCTCAGAGGATGCACTGAGGGACAGTGAGAACACAGCCCTGGAGAATACCTGGGCAGGAGAGCAGGTACCTGGATAGCCAGGGCCCCTGCAGCTCTGGAGGGGGCTTCTCAGAGGAGCTGAAAATAAACTGCTTCTGGTGCCAAAGACGACTCTGACTTCACTGCCCCATGTGGCTGTAGCCCCCCAGAGCTTCCCAGGCTGCCTTCTTTATGGGCTTCCTGCCAGGCTTTCTTCCTTGGGGTCATTAAGTGGGTTCTGACCGCCAGCCTTTGGTTAAAGGTCAAGTGTTTGGCCACTGCAGGACCAGAGCTCCAACCATCTTAGCACCTTTTGTTTGGAGCAAAATCTGGGTAAGGTTTTCAAAAGAGCCGTGAGGTTAAGGTTCTGGGTGAAGCTTTGTTGCCCTCAGTGACTTCTGTTAGGTTGGCCTCGTGGTCAAGCCCAGGCCGGTCAGTGCCCGCAGCTTGCACACATTTTCTTTGGAGTGTGTGGTGCTAGGGAAATAAGAAGTCCAGTTGAAAATTCAAGTGCATATTTAGGAAATGGGAATGGATTCCTTGTTGTTTTAAAGGGTAAATTCATCCTCTATTCAACTTGTTACTTGCCCACTCCTACAAATGTTTCTGGTTTACTTGTGAAACAAACATCTGAATTCTTCTTGCCCTTTCACTTATATTTACTGTTTTACAGCATTGTTCCAGCCATTTCTGGATCATGTTCAGCAGGATTTTGCTAGTGTGTGATATTAGTGATGTGGTTCGATAATTTCTACACACTGTCTGGTCACCTTTTTAAAAATGGGAATATATATGGCTTTTTCCCACTCAGTTGGCCAAGTAGTTGTCCTCCAGATATCTTAGCACAACTTGGTGAGCACATCCAGGGCAGCATGTATTTGCGGAAATATGTCAGTTGGTATTCCACCAATTCCTGGGGCGTTATTTTTTGCCAAGCCCTTCAGAACAGACAGAACTTCCTTGATAAATGTCCACCCTTGTGGAGGTCATATGAGCAGGAGTGACATTCACTTTCTAAACAACATGCTTGTGAAAACTATGAACTTTGATAAATGATGATAGTTCTAGAAAATCTTCAGGTCTTTTGTTCATGGGGGTCACTGTGAGTCATGCTCGACTCAACAGCAGTCAGCAACATTTTACAGTAAGCATTTTACATCTAGAATTTCTCATTTTCAAAAACAAAATCCGCCCAGGCCTTATGTCGCGTGGTTATGTTAACTGCTCACTGCACCAGTCCAGCAGCCATGGCCCCGCAGAGCAGAACCTGCCAGCCCTGTGCCCCATGAGCACCGCCTGGTACAGAAGACTTCACACTGGACCGAGGCGCCATTCCTACGGATTGTCTTTGGATTCTTCATTTGGTCAATAATGGGAATTCATGAGAGCAAGAGGTGAATGATAGAGATGAATCTTGAATTCTACCCTTAATTGACATATTAGTAGAAATAACAAAAGATATTTCTGTCACAGTTCCGGCAGAAGATCAAAGACTGTAGTCTTCAATGTGGATTTGATCTCAACATCA